TGAATGAAAAAAAAAAATACACCTTAATTTTGACATCAGAATGTGTGCAGTCTTCATGTTCCATCAAAACAAGGGGACAGGAGAACTGAGGATCCTGGCACTGTAGTAGAAAGTCTTCCAAATATAGGATCTAACTCCAGAAAGCATATCCACCAAGCTTCGAAGAGATATCATTTTCAGCTTTGAGGATACAGCCTCCTAGGAAAACCCTTGTGCTAGGGTGTTTTCAGTTGATTGGTGTAATCATTATTATGAGCATTTTCTTAGTTCCTTCTTATCTAAAAGTCTGTTTCCTTCATTAGGATCTATATTGAAGACAGAGGCAACAGTAAATATTCAGGGCTCCTAGTTGTCCAGATATTGGCCATCCCTTTACTGTTTATAAAACTTTAGTTACACAAATATTATCTGTGACAAAATGATCAAAGAAATTTCTGTGAGAGAAAAATAACGTTTGCTGAGAAGTAAGTGGGAATTATGAATGCTACTCTACTTACCCAAAAACTTTGATCCACTAAAATATATTTAGAAAAGTAGTGCTCTGGTTTTTAAAGTCAGATTTAAAAGCTGCATCAAATTTGTAAATTTAAGAAAAATGTCCATTTTAATGGATAAGGCAACTACTGGTTGGCTTGCCAAAAGTGACAGGATCTGGGATTTGGAATAAAATTATTTCTTAAGAGGTTGCTTACAACATAGATCATAATTAATTTGATGATTTGTCCCCTAGAAATCTGACCCACAACTGCTCTGGCCAATTCAAACAATGTTCTGTTGTGCTGAACTGGGTTCCTCTCCCTCTAGTCCCCACTCTCATGACAACCATGATAGCTATGATTTTCAGAAGAATTTAAGACAAAAATTCTGATACATAATCACTGGGTTATATCTACTAATGAGAGTTTGAAATTTATGCACTGAAATGTGAGAATAGTGTATTGAATAAATTACCACACAAACTGAGCTATTAGAATATTAATTGAAAATCTGGTATCTTCTCAAGGGAACTATTGCATTGTCCTGTGTTATTAAAAAAGCACAATCCCTAGCCGTGTGACCCTGGGCAAGTCACTTAACCCCACTGCCTATCAAAAAAAAAAAAAAACCCCCAAAACACACACACACAAAAAGCACAATCCATGAAATAAAACCATATGACTTCTCACTGATGAAGTAAACTTCCTGAGATACAGTAGTAGGTGGTAACTTGTTTTAAATTTTATTTGTTTAATAAACTACTGTGAACTTTAAAGAGACACGTGAGGCCCACAATAATAAGATGTAATAATATGTTGAATGTCCAAAAACCTCTCAATTTGTGGGTTTGGGAAGTTGTCTATCTTTTTAAAGAAACACTGCTTAGTTCAATTACAAATGGCATGACATAATGATATAGAGAATGTGTGCCCTTAATGAAGATGTTTCTCTGTCTCTGATCTGGAACAATACATAATTTTAAAAAGGATACTAAGAAGGAAAAAAAATAAACTTATATGAGGAAGATACTGAAAGTCTCTTTATGCTACTATATGAGAAATAACCAAGCATGCTTTTGTGGATGTGACAAACGTCCTATCCTTTTTAAACAATAAAGACCACAAGAGAATGGGAATAAAAGACGAAGCACAGAATGGAAGAAAAGATGAGTTTCCTGGAATCCTAAGGACATTTAGAGTATCAGAAATATGTGACATTCATTTAGATACCCTATCTCAAGGGATTTTTATATGGCACCAAGGAATTAAAAAAAAAAGTACATATTTTGATAACTAAACCAGGTTGAGGATAACTGAGGGGTCTCAAATGCATCAGTGAGTGAGGGGGGGTTTCTATCCCAAGCATGTGAAGACTTCCCCTGGTGGAATGGATGAATGAGAACAATTTGTTCCAAAGGCCACGAAGGGAGCTAATGCAGCTGCTGTGGAGTGCTTACCACTTGGTTAGACATCAAAAATGCCAGTCATCCACTGCATTTGAGGACATCACCAGTCACTTTGACTCTATCCTGCCACTGGACAGTGATGACTCTGGAAGAGTGAGGCTGACTACTACATGCAACTCTGCCTCACTTAAATCCAATTAACACACAAATCAAAAGACATCACCCATACCATCTTACCATTTTTACCTGTCTCAAAGTCCTGTGGCGATAGGCAAACATCAAAGCAACAGGTGTGGGTACACTGGGAGCTATAGTCACAACCCTGCACACAAGCAGCCCAGGTCATAGGGTCATACTCTCACTGGAAGCAGCAGTGGGATTCAGCAGCCCCCTGGTCATCCACGCAGCCTTTTAAGGACCACACTGCTCACTTCCTGGTGTGAACAGGCTAGAAAAGGTGCCCTAAAAATTATCTGCTTACCCAACTCTGGCCTGATTACTGCAGCAGGTGGGGATCCCACTGGGCAGTCAAAACACATTAAAAAAAAAAGGTACAAAAACTTCTGCAAAGATGATTCCATTCACAATCAATACATGGAATGGGTACATATTTACAGACAACACAAAATCCAGTAGATCTGAAAGATAAACAACAGCTCTTGTTGCAAGAGAACTCAGCAGGTGTCTAACCAAATAGCAGCCCTGAGTGAAACAAAGCCACAAATGAAGGCCAACTTACTGAAGTCGGAGCTGGATACACATTGTTCTAAAGTGGCCATAGTGAAGGGAATGCCATGAAGTTGATGTAGGCTTTGCAATCAAAAGTAATCTAGTTAAACAAGCTTGTATGCTTACCAAAAGGAGTAAATGACATTCTTATGACAATGTAATTGCCACTTACAGGAAAAAGCCATGACACCATCATCAGTACATATGTTCCCACCATAATGAATCCTAATGAGATCAAAGAAAAATTTTATGAAGACCTGGAGACCCTTATCATCAATGTGCCAAAAGAGGACAAGCTTGTAATTTTGGGAGACTTTAATGCTAGAGTAGCCTCAGACTACCAGACATGACAGGGAGTCCTTGGGAAGAATGGAGTCAGAATCACAACAATGGTCACTTAGTACTGACTTGCGCACCTCATGACCTTCTCATCATCAACACTGTCTCCTGTTTACCTAAATGCAATAAAACTTCACGGACGCACCCTCACAGCAAACAGTGCCATTTAATAGACAAGATGTAACAGTAACAAACACATACTCACATTCAACAAAAGCAACTGTTCCAAGGCAAAATGACTACCAGAAGAATTAATGTCAACAGATTACAGCATTTCTCTGAGTGGGAAATTTGTTGCTAACTTGGAAGGAAAGTTGAGCCAACACACAATTGGCAAGAGTGGAACAGAAAAGAAGTGGGCAGTTTTCAGAGATTTGGTGTACAGCACTGCATTTGCTCATCTGGATCAGAACATTTGGAAACATAAAAGCTGATTTGACAAAAATGATGGGGAAATCCAGAAGCTGCTAAATGAAAAACAAGAACTCCACAGGGTTTACCAGCAGGATAGTTCCTCTATCTCTAAGAAGGCAGCATTTAATTTCATCAAAAGTAAAGTGCAAGCAAAGCTTAGAGAGATGTAGGATTCTTGGCTCAGTAAGAAGGCAGACGAAATTCGGTTTTATGCTGATAGTAATAATCCAAAGCACTTTTATGATGGTCCTGAAGGCTATTTATGGGCTAAAGACCTGTGGTGCATCTCAACTACTCAGTGCTGATAAAGCCACATTGATAAGGATATGATCCTAGAAAGACGGGCTGAACACTTCCATAGTGTTCTCAATACACCATCATCAGTCAGTGTTGAAGTTACTGACCATTCACCTCAGGTTGAAGTCAATCCCTCCCTAGCTGAAGTTCCAACTGAAGAAGAGGTTTTGAAGGCCATTAGGCTCCTTTCATGTGGCAAAGCATCTGGTTCTGATTCTATTCCATTTGAGATTTACAAGGTGTGGGGGTGAGGTCCACCGCTCATACAAAAGCTGACTAAAATTTTCCAGGTTATGTGGCAAGAGGTTGTCCCCTAGGGGTTCAAAGATGCTTTTATTGTCAAACTCTATAAAGGTAAAGGAAATAGATTGTCCTGTGACAATCACAGGGAGGTCTCTTTCAAGATTCTTGCCTGAGGCTTCTTTAATAGGCTGATTCTTCACCTAGATGGTCATCTACCAGAGAGAAAGGGCCAAGGAATGGTCGATACTGTGTTTGCTTCCTGACAACTCAGTGAAAAATGCCAGGAGCAAAAGTCTGTACACAACATTTGTAGATCCGACCTTGGCCTTTAAACCGTCAGTTGTGAGAGCTTATCAAAAATTATGTCCACATTTGGTTGTCCAGAGAACTCTATCAGTATTAGAAGTCAATTTCGCAAAGGCATGCTTGCCTCAGTTCTGGATGATGGATGATGCGCTCATGCTTTCCCAGTCACCAATGGAGTGAAACAAGGCTGTGTGCTTGCTCCCGTGCTTTTTAGCATGTTTTCAGTCATGCTGTCAATGCCTTCAATGAGGATGAGCACGGCAACAAGGTATCACACTGATGGTAAATTCTTCAACTTGAAAAGGCTGCAAGGCAAGACTAAAGTAGAGGGAGTGTTGGTGCATGTTTTTTTTTTTTTTTTTCAGATTGTGTATTCAACACAGCCTCTGAAGCTGAGATCATTTATGTGCTGCTTGTGCTAATTCTGGCCTAACAATTAATACCAAGAAAACACAGGTGGTCCATCAGCCAGCCCTACACCATTCATATGTGGAACCATCAGAAGTTTTGAATACTTGGATAAACTCACTTACCTTAGCAGTAAACTTTCCAGGGACATATACACTGATAATGAGACACACTACCAAAACTAACTCAGTATTTGGGAGGCTCCAAAGGAAAGTGTGGGAGAGAAAAGGTATTATATTGTACAGACCCTCTAATACTATTAATAATAATGCCTCTAATAATTGATATATAATAATGCCTCTAATAATTAATAATATATTCATCACAGTTGTTATTTTTTATGGTGTGAGTTTCCACTGGATTGCTGTATCAATTTGTTCACCTATCCTGCAATTTGGGGTCCTAAGGTTGTTTCCAGATTTGTGTTATTTTTTTTTTTTAGTTGTTGTTGTTAATGCTACATATAAGACTTCTAAAAACAACTTTGTATAGTTTTTTTTCCCGAGGACATATTTTAGTAACAGAATTATTACCTAGTCAGACTATGACCACTTTTACAATCCTTGTCTATTGCCAGATTGCACAAATTCTATCAATATCAGAAACCCTTTTTTCTCAGTCCTGCCAATTTTTGAATTGTTTTAAAGTAACTTTTGTCAACTGTTTGTGATTATGGAGACAAAGAGCTTGTATATTTTAGCACGGCAAACAACAGAGAAAGTTAGGTTCTTATAGATTCTACTCTCTGGAGCTTATTTAAAAGTTTCCTATGTCAAGGTCTTCCTTTCCTTCCATTGGCAACCTCAATTTAGAGGTCTTAGCTTCTCATCTTGAAGGCAATTTTTATGCTTAAGTTGGAAGAAACTGACTACTACATTCACACCCATGCCTTTCAGTACTTAATACATGTTAGACTCTTCATTAGTTCTGGTGTACAATCAGATGATTTTTGGATTCTTCAATAAGTCAATCCTGTTTTATTTTTTGCTGTTTTAAGAATTTTAATTCTCTAAGCTTTAGGAGTTAGAAAATTACATGCCTCTGACTTTGTGCTTTATGACTTTCATACAGGTTATTGTGGCTTCTTTCTGTTTAAGGATTTAAACCTTTTCTTCTCAGCTATGGAGAATTTTCTTCAATACAATCTTCAGATTGCATCCCTTCTCAAATGCCTATTTTTGGTAGGTTGGAAAACTGATTCATTTTCAAGGTCGGTTAGATTTATTTCCAACACTACCTTATTCACTTAAAAATTCTAGCGTTTTCATTTTGTCATCACAGTTGCTATTTCTCTATTCTTTGCTGCCTTTAGTGATGTTTTTAATTCACCCATTGTGTGGAGCATGTGACTTGATTCCTTTTCTTTCTATGGTAGATATTTATTCTTATTTTTCCCTCAGTCTATCTCATTTACTCCCCCCCCCCCCTTCACTTTATTTACTATGGAACATCTTTTGTGGTCTTGTTGTTTTGCGGTTATACTGCATAACTTTTTGGCAGCACCAAACACTATCTTAGTTTTTGCTAAGTTCATTTTCAGGTTTAATTTAATTTTGTTGTTATTCATTGGAGTTCTCCAGTCTTTCTATGAGGATGTGTCTGGAATGGGCACCCAATGATGCTATTCCTCCCCTAAATACACACACACACACACACCACCTTCAACACTTGTTAGAGGTTTCCTTGAGAATTAGAGACATGGACAAAGGAGAGTATGATGTAATTTTGGAGCAGAGTAACACTAAAGTCTTAGCGAGTCCCCTTATCAAAACTATCATCATCTCCGGACAAGTGAGTTTCTCCAGTCCCAAAATGGCTTTCCACATTACTCAAATCTTGCCTTACTCTAAAACTGAGAGAACCATATTTAACTCCTTTCATTGCCACGCTCTATCAGATCCATTATACCTTCTCCAGCTCACAATGAAAGCACACTTTATGGAGAGGGTCCCAGAAGTACTAGCTTATGCACATTAAACAGAATATGTGTGCAGGGCTGTTCTGCCTTACCTTAGGGGAAACTGTGTTTAATATTTCATCTGAACTTTTTATTTCTTCACTTTAAAATCATTTCTAAATTTAATGGTTCCAATACAAAAGTTCTACTGAGAACCTGTTCTTTCAGATGCCATACCTGAGCCTCGTATAAAACTAGCTCTACTAATGGGAGTTTATATGAATAGCAAAGAAGAGAGAAATAAACAGGGAATATTTTTTCTTCTCTCAAGCTAAGTGACAAGTTTGTTTGAAGCTTTATTTACATCTTCTATACCCAGAATCATTCTCTGAAGTAAAATTGCTGATGTATTAGGAACTAAATTTGAACTTTTCGGAAGCTTATTCCATTTATGATGTTTTTTCCATTACGGTTTTCCTGACACAGAATGAGTAGATGCTGAAGGCCTCCCTACTTCCATTACATTTCTATTGTCTGTTCAGAATTAATAATCTGATAAATAATGGGATAATTTTGTCTGAAAGTGTTCCGAGCATCCCTACATTAGTAGGATTTCCTTACAGTATGAATTCTCTGATGCTCAGTAAGCTGTTGCTTTTCAAGAAAGACTTGACATATTCGTTATATGCATGTGTTGGAGGCATTTCCTCAGTATAGATCTGAGCAGAACCATAGACTGCTGCTTTAATTACACTTCAGGTTTAGTTTGACTATGAATTCTCCGATGACGAGAAAGGGAAGAACTGTGTGCGAAGTTTTTTCCACATTCATTACATTTATAATGTTTCTGTCCAGGGTTACTCTTCTGATGTTGAGAGATTAAATCATCACTGAAGGATTTTCCACAATCAATAAATTTATAGGACTTTTGTCCTGTATGAATTCTCTGATGCTTCGTAAGGGAAGAGCTGCTACTAAAAGCTTTGCCACATCCACTACATTTATAGGGTTTCTCACCTGTATGAACTCTCTGGTGTAGAACTAAAAATGTATTCTGCCTGAAGGCTTTGTCACATTCATTACACTTAAAGGGTTTCTCTCCAGTATGAATTTTCTGATGATGAGAAAGAGAAGAACTGTCACTAAAAGGTTTTCCACAATAATTACATTTGTAAGGTTTTTCTCCAGTATGAACTCTCTGATGTCGAGTCAAAGATGAACTGTCACTAAAAGATTTTCGACAGTCACTGCATTTATAGGGTTTCTCTCCTGTATGAATCCTCTGATGCTTAGTAAGAGAAGAGCCATCACTAAAAGCTTTGCCACATTCACTGCACTCATAGGGTTTCTCACCAGTATGCATTCTCTGATGTAGAACCAGAAACGCATTCTGCCGGAAGGCTTTGCCACATTCATTACATTTAAAGGGTTTCTCTCCAGTATGAGTTCTCTGATGGTGAGAAAGGGATGAACTGTGTGTGAAGGCTGCACCACAATCATTACATTTATAGGGTTTCTCTCCAGTGTGAATTCTCTGATGTTGAGTAAGGGATGAACTGTCACTGAAGGATTTTCCACAATCACTACATTTATAGGGTTTTTCACCAGTATGAATTCTCTGATGCTTAGTAAAAGAAGAGCCATCACCAAAGGCTTTGCCACATTCACTGCATTCATAGGGTTTCTCACCAGTATGCAACCTCTGATGTAGAGCCAGAAATGCATTCTGCCTAAAAGCTTTGCCACACTCATGACATTTAAAGGGTTTCTCTCCAGTATGAGTTCTCTGGTGTTGAGAAAGAGACGAACTCCGCGTGAAGGCTGCACCACAATCACTACATTTGAAGGGTTTCTCTCCAGTATGAATTCTCTGATGTTGAGCAAGAGATGAACTGTCACTGAAAGATCTTCCACAGTCACCACATTTATAGGGTTTCTCTCCTGTATGAATTCTCTGATGTTTAGTAAGGGAAGAGCCAACACTGAAAGCTTTGCCACACTCACTGCATGCATAAGGTTTCTCTCCAGTATGAACCCTCTGATGTAGGATAAGAGATGAATTTTTACTAAAAACTTTCCCACATTCGTTGCACTTACAGCGTTTCTTTCCAGTATATGTTTCCTGACGATGATTTACTAATTTACTTTGTCTGAACGCTTCCCCCAATTCATTATATTTGTATGATCTCTCTCCAGTAGTTATTTTATCACACATAGCTGAGGGACAATGAAATTCTTTCTTGCAAACATTATGTTTACTAAGTTTCTTTTGTGAGGAGATTGTATTATTTTTACTTGCTGAGTACTGTTTGAAGGTATTTCCATGTGCATCATATTTATGGGGGCTCTTTCCTGAAGAGATGTTTCTCTCTGTAACAATACTTGACTTAGGATGAAAACTTCTCTCAAATATATCACATTCATGGATTCTTATTTCATTAGACATGTTCTTTTGAGTTATTTGCTCCAGATTTCTTTCTTGGCTCCCCTGTTGCCTCTGGAATCTGCCATCACATTGCCAGGGTTGTCCCGAATTTGAATCCCGTAAGCCACAACCTACAAGCCTTTCCTGGGATGATTCTGTCACCGAAGTACCTTGCTTTGCAACTGAGTTCTTGGTCTCAGGCCTAGCTTCCCAATCTGGGGGGGGGGAAATTAAAATAGAAATGTTCCTTGTTCTCTTTGGCAGGAGAAAGGAAACTTCTACGTAAGTAAATCATTTATCACCATTAATATATTTCTGAGGATCATGAGATTATACATAGGGTAAAACCCCAACTTCATTTTTTTTGAGGTTATGTTCTCACTCAAATTGAAAATAACATTAATTCCTATTTGTAGTGATACATTAATTGTACAAATTGCTTTCCTCACAAAAACCTAGTGAGATAGGTAGATCAAGTATCATCCGCATTTTTAGGCATACTGTTTGATATATGAAAGACATCAAAGAGATTAGCTTAGGTGACAGAGGGAGTGCATTTTCAAAAATAAAAAGTTTGCAGAGGTATATATACAATGGCAAATTATATCGGAACTTTAAGTTCGGACAAAAGATTAGAAAACATCGTACCTAGGGAACCACAAGGTGGTCTCTCAAGTTTGAAAAGATGGCACATAAAACTGGATGGCCTGGCCTCCAAGTCAGGAAGACCAGGGTCTCAAGTCCTGCCCTCAACACATACCGGCTGAGGGACCCTGGGCAGCGAACTTGAGCTCTCAAGGTCCTAGGCAACTTTCTAAGACAGTAAACTACAAAGTAGTTGCCACTCTGCATTTATATATGGTTTCCTCACCAGGAACTACCTATGCTTATGAAATCATGTCTAGATGCTCACATATCTAGATGTCCTCTAAAAAAGAAAAATTAAAGCCAAACATAATGGAGAAAAGAAAAGAAGTAAATAATAAGATGATTTTGATATTGGCAAGTAGGCACACTTTCTTTTTTGTTTGTTTGTTTAATTAGAAGCCTAGAAGCTTTCCATAGAAATAAGTGAAGGTACCTTGTACCTGTCTTGGGGCTCATTGCTTCATAGTACCCAGTGCCTTGCTACTGGGAAAAAGCAGGGAGGTTGCAGTATAAATCAAGCAATTCCCAATTCCATGACAAGTGGAGTGAAAGGCAATTTTGTTACATCAGTTTGCCACAGACAAAGGCCAAGAGTTACCGATGAGAATGACAAACGACTGATGATCTTTCCTAATAGGTTTCAAGGGCAAGGGAATTCTGCAGTGACCTACACCGTATACCATGCTTCTGTTTCTGCCAGTTCCCAGTAACAGCTATGTGTAAAACAAAGGCAAGCTGGTATCCCTTCTGTAAGAGAAGTTACAAGCCTGGGAGAATGTCTCTCCCACACTCCACTTTATCAGAAAGAATGGGGCACTCCTTTAAAAACATAAGAACTCCAAGCTAAAAAGTAAAAAAGGTTCCAAAGAGGAAGAAATCTAGACCTAGATCAGGCTGAACTACAGGGTTATGACATAGGAGGAAGGGTGAAAAGAAATGAAACCGACTGCAGTATGTGGCCTGCAGTTTCTCTCTCCATTCCATCCTTACCTCTTCAATGAACCTCAGGTGATTCAGCAGTCATACTTACAAGTCCTTTACCAGCCCGGCCTCTGACCTTCTTCATGAGAACCTCCCTGTTGACATTCTCCTTCAGTTACCTTACTGGAGGGGTCACACAGACCTTACCATCATTTGAAATTCCTCCATTTCTACCAAGTAAACTATGAGCTTTCCTTTGTTGACCACAGCCTCTGGGCCCTTCCTTCCCTCCTCAGCCTATTCTTTGCCTCCATCCTCACCTCCAGTGCCTGGATCTTTCCTCTAGTCTCGAGGTCCATCATTCCTGTTCTGGCTTAACTTCCCTCCTGGAAGTCTTGACCCTATGGTCAGCTGTTGCAAAAATTCATTCTTTTCTCCCTTGAATCCCTTAACTTTGCCCCATGCCAATTATTCTGATCCCTAAAGCTGCAAAACCCCTACTAGTTGCCTTTGCCACTTCTGCTCTGAAGCCACAGAACCCTGAAAGTCATGAAAACACCAGGTTGAATGACTCAGCTAAAAATGTACATTCTCTTACCTCTCCAGCCCTTCACTGTCCATCAGGAGTCCAGCAGATGATGTCTTACTGGCTTCCCAATTAGTCCTCATATTGTTCAAAAACTTTTCTCTCTAAAGAACCTCCAATTACACCCCCACACCTTCTCATTGTGAGAAATAATTCATTCGGACACCTACTCTATTCCAATCACCATCAATCAATTTGATATGATTCCATAGGGGTAGTGATTATAAGTTCTGCATATCAGGCCCCAGAACTGTGAGTTGCATATCACCTGCTTAATCTTAGGAAGCTAACTAGACCACTTCACTGGTCATATTCACTGAGGAGACAAATAGAGAGTGGCCTCATATCTTCCCTCTCTTGGTATGAATGACTTCATATTTAAACTAACTCCTATTTGAATAATATGACCATTTTCTTTAAATAAGACAGGAATAAAGAAGTCCAAATAGACATAATATATTCTGTTTTCTTGACTGCTGATACCTTGTTAAAATACTATATTAAAATATTCATTGAAATGTACATATTTGCACATATGTGTATAGGTCAAATCTTTTTTCAACATAATTCAAATGAACGTCCAAATTGATTATTTTATTAGAATTGAACATTGTTCAAAAGGTGAAGGCTATTGCTTTGGGCTTAGAACTTTGTTCTGCATACAGCATATAAAATATCCCTATATGGAAAAAAAACAATAAACTAACGCCCAATTCAGTGTAAAATTAGTGGTTGTAGCCACTTACCTCCATGCTACTGTTTATTTACTTGTTTTCTCTTCCTCAGTTCCCACAATTCTGCTGTTGTTCCACTGGTCAGTTGTGTTTAGTTCTCCACAACCCCATTTGGGGTTTTCTTGGCAAAGATCTTTATTTGCATTTACTTTGTTTCATTTATCTTATCTATACCACGAACTCTTAAGCTGGGGTCACTTTACAATGACATATGCCGGCCTCTCCTGCGTCTCTAATATGCCCTTTGCTACTGAATCCCACCTGCTTCTACAAACCTGCTAATTTCTCCCATTCAGAAAAGCCTTCCTTTGAAAATGCTGCTGTCGTGAACTGCTGCCTTCTTTATCTCCTCCCTAAATGGTGTGGAGAGAGCACTCTGCCCTCACACCTTCATCACCAAATCACTACTCAAGTGCTGCAATCTGGTTTCTGACCCCACGAGGGAGACGAGTAATCTCTCCAAAGTCAGCAGACATAACCTCACTGTCGACCCCAAGAGCCGGTCTAAGTCTTCGTGACAGTCCAAACTAGAGATTCTTTCCTAAAAGTACTTCCTCCAGGGGCGGCTAGGTGGCGCAGTGGATAAAGCCCTGGCCCTGGGTTCAGGAGGACCTGAGCAAGTCACTTAACCTCACTGCCTAGCCAAAAAAAAAAAAAAAAAAAAAGTATTTCCTCCCCTTTTCTACCTAGATCCCTGAAGGTGGATAAAATTGGGGGGGGGGTGCGGGAAAGCGATGCCACATATGGGGAGAATAATAGTACCCAAATGGTCAAGTTAAAAGATGTGGGTACAGTCAGAGCTCACCAAATCAAACTAGTAGATACACCACTTGACAATTGGTTTTTTGAACTTTACCCAACCACAGACCATACTTGTTTGCTTTTGATCTTTGGATCCCAATGTGATTCCATTATCATCTTGGACTTCAGGACCCTGGACATGATTCTGGTCTACTTCTCACCACTTAATTTCTGATCTTATGCTCTGACCTGGCCCACTGCCTGCTCCTCCTCCCCCCTCACAGAACCTGGCCAGCCCAGGCACTGTGGCTGGATTGCTCCTCACGGGCCCTCAGTCACAGACCCAGCCAGCTCTGCCTTCCCAATTTCCTCTAACGATACTCTTTTTCCACAGGCCGTGTCCCAGTCAAAATAATTTGTCAATTCGTGCTTTTGTTTTGTCCTCTTCCACCTCTTTCTAGATGCTCTTCTCTATGCCCTGAAAGGCTTCCTCTCACCTGTTGAAATCCCTGCCTTCCTTCAAGGCCCAGCTCAGGTACTACTTCCTTCATGAAGGTTATCTTGATCTGCCAAGATGAAAGGGACCCAACCTCAAATGTTTCAGGGCATTTATTTGGACTTCTTTTTGCTTCTCATATACTAGTCTGTATTATTTATATATGCGTCTCAAGACATTAGACTCTATTCAGAATAATGGAATTAAGAGAAATCAGAAGGCAGCAAAAGCGGTAGCAGAGGCAAATGGTTTTTGTTATGTATTTGTTATCAAGATGCAGCAGCTAATGCATATCTGTAAGTAGAAGGAAATGAAGATGCTAGAGAAGGTGGAAATAATCATGGGAATAATGCCCCAAGAGAATGAAAAAGGATGAAATCTTGAATACAGGCAGAAAGGTGCGTGTTAAAGAGAAACACCTACGCCCTTCTCTCAGACTTGAAGTCTGAAGTCCTCTCTCCAGGTCTGGATGACTGAGTGAAACTCCTTGCCTAACATTTCACAGCCTTGGGATCAGAGCTGCTGACTGCAATGACTTCCTTCTGCCTGTGTTCTCACTTGCTTACCTGGATACGTGCTTGTTGGCCTTTCCTCCTCTGCTATCCATGGTCCCTCTCCTTGCTCCAACTGGGAAATCACCTTTGGCTTGGACACTGGAAGCCCTGCTCATGGGTTTTTAAAAACAAAGAAACCGTCAGAGGTTGGGAAAAAGTATCCACCTTACATTTTAGTCCAGGCTGTTCCTTATCAGGAGAAAGGAGGCATGCTAGGAAAGCTCAGAGAGTGACACAGAGGTCCTTAAGGAGGCTGTGTGCTCTAGGACCAGAAGTCTCTTTGGCAGTCAGAGTAGAAGGGCAGGCACAGACATCATTTAGAGAGTTCTAGAAAAATGAGTCCATTTGACTCCAATCCCGCTAAGAAGATGGGAATCTTGGCTGTCTTCAGGTCTCTGCCCTGGAGCTTTGGGGAGAATTCCCAACCCTGGGGATCAGAGAACGACAAAGGTACAGCCTCTGAAGCAGCTCCCTAAAGCTGCCAATTTCCATTTACTACCAAAAAACAACTTTCTCCTCAGTACAAGGAGCAGAAACACTGTGGATATGATGGTTTAAGAAGCGATAAATCCCTCAGATCAAGCCAAAGTTCAGAGAGATACGTTAGCTGGGGTTTTTAACCCAGGGTTAGGAAAGTGGTTTTTTTTAACTATTTCAATAATTAATTTCCTCTTAATTCTCTGTACTTTTTTTGCATTTGAAAACATAATTCTGAGAAGGGGTTTATAAACTCCTTATCAGACTGCCAAAGAGGGCCATGACACAAAAAGTAAGAACCCCTGCCTCAGAGCAACTTCCAAGTAATGAACAAATCCTGAGTGGCGAAGGGAATCGTTCTCACCGAGAGACACCAGGTTCCTATAGTTCTCCAGCATCACGTCCCTGTAGAGGTACCTCTGAGCAGGCGTCAACTGCTTCCATTCCTTCCTGGTGAAGTGCACAGCCACATCCTTGAACGTCACAGAATTCTGAAACAGCAAACACATTCATGCACCTCTGAAGACCAAGCCTCTCGTGGACCTGGCAGAAGGTGGGAGAAGTTGGCAGGGTTTAAAGAGATTGGTTAAAAGTGGTCAAGATCCTGAGCATTCAGTTTAAATACCTGAATACCCACTGTGTTAAAGTCACCTTGTTCTACAGCAGGGGTGAGGAACCTAAGGCCTCGAGGCCACACATGGCTTCCGAGATCCTTGGGTTTGGCCTTCTGACTGAGTCCAAGTTTTACAGAACTCCATTGTTGCTCTTTTCCCCCCTACTTTTTCCATGGTTATCTCACCTTTCCCCCACCGTCATCTCTCACCCCCCATTTTTTTAAACTGCCTCTTGTAAGAAGTTATGATGGTCTCACAAAAGAGATTCCTGTTTTGGCCATCTGAAAATGTGTGTTCCATTCAGCTCCTCTTGTCCCTCACCTCTCAGACAGGATTTGGGCAGCACGCTGGTCATGGCACTTATGTCTTTCAAAGTTATTGTTCTTTAAAATATTATGGTCACCCCATACTTATTCTCCCAGTTCTGCTTACCTCAAGAACTCATTATCTTTCCATCCCCAAGCCCTCCCTTCTTCTTAACCTTCTTATTGCTACAAAGATCACCAGCATCCTTCTAGGCACACAGGTTCTCAAAATTAGTCATAGGAACACTTACTAGCTGTGTGACCCTGGACAAGTCACTTAACCCCAACTGCCTAAAAAAAACCCAAAAACCAAAAACCAAAAACCAAAAAAAAAAAAAACAAAAAAACATTAGTCATAGGATCATTCATCTAGAAGCTGGAAAGAATCTCAGACACCCTCTGGTCCAACCTCCTCATTTCACAGATGAGGAAAACAAAGCCCAAGAGATGTTAAGCAACTTGCCCAAGGTCACACATGTAACAAGTATAAGCCTTAACACCTGGTTCCCTGACACCATAGCCAGTACTCTCTCCACTTACGTCAGTCATCCTCGCTCAACACTTTTCTCCTATTAATCCTTCACTTCCAATCATCTGTCAAGCCTGGAGAATTCTACATTCACAATCTTATATTCATGAAAATGTGTCTTATACTCATTCCCTTCTATCAGTTCTCCCAGGCATCTCCCTTGTTCCAGCTCTGAAAACTTCTCCTCATCTGCTGCAATGGCCTCCTCATTGGAGGCTATACCTCTAGTCTCTCCTCTGCAATTCATCAATCCTTCTCCTTCTCCACTCAATTTCAATTCATGTGTGTATAAGCATACATGTATACATACATTCTTTGTGTGCATATACATTTATATAAACACGTTTCTATGTGTCGACGTGTGTCTATGTATGTATACGTGTTTATGTGTTTGTATGTATGCGTATGTGCACACACAAAATCATTTAACTATATGGTATATATAATATGTATACATAATATATATATGTACACACACACACAACTACATGCTCACGTGTTCAAAGAACTGGAAGATGTGATTGCTGAGCTACTGTCAATGATATAGGCAGGTGTACAAATATACATGTTTATAGTATATATGTGAGTATGTACATGTATGTGTGTATGTGTATATATAGATCGAGCTCTAGATGTTATATACTCCTTGACTATGAGCTGTTCTGACTCTGTCAATACCACTTGAATTATCGCAGAAAACTGGAAAGAAACCACAAATTTAGAGAATGACATGATTTTCAAATCAAGGAGAACAGTCTGCAAACTATTAACCAGCAGACAACTTCAATTCCAGGGAAAATTCTAGAATGGATCATTAAAGAAATGACTGGTGAACATTTGGGAAGGGAAGTAGTGATAACAACGAGCCAGCTCAGCTTCAAGAATAGGTCTCGCCAGACTAAACTCATCTCCTTTTTGGACAGGATGACTAAATCAAGATAAGAGGAATGCTACGGATAGAGTTTGCCCAGATTTTAAAGGACATGGGGGAAAGGATACAGAGGGAATTGTAGGTTATGTGAACAGAAAATATATCGATAAAATCTTTTTTTTTTAAAATAAAGGGGAAAAAATGGTTGGTTAGAAAAAATCTTTGAATCCAATGTTGAAGATACATAGGGAACTTATGATATTATAATAATAGCTAGCATTTATGTAGTGCTTTTAGCTTTGCAAAATGCTTTACAAAATTCTGGGAGGTAAGAGGAAACATTCCCATTTTACAGATGAGGAAACTGAGGCAGAGGTTAAGTGCCTTGCTAGGTTCCACAGCTAGGAAGTGTCTGAGACCAGATTAGAATTCAGTTCTTCCTGACTCCAGGCCTGGCTTTCTATCTGCTTCTATCTAACTGCCTCATGAACCATTTTAAAAGAATTGCAAACTGTTAGCAACAATGAACGGCACAATACCAGAATAGATAATGAGAGAAAGGCAGGCAAATCAAAACCACCCTCAGTTTTCACCTCATACCTAGCAAACAGGCAAAGATGACAAAAGATTGAAATAGTTGATGTGGAGGGGGTTGTGGAAAGCCAGGGCCACTAAAGCACTATCCATGGAGCTATGAATTGGTCCAATTTGCTTAGAGAGCACTCTGGGATTATTCAAAGAAATAAGACTAAAATGTTCCCCACCCTCTTGACCCAGAGATCTCAGTACTAGGTACAGACCCTAAGGAGACTAATGACAAAAGATAAAGGCTCCATATGCACCAAAGCACTAGTAAAAGTATTTTCAGTAGCAACAAAGACCTAGAAACAAAGTAAATGCCCATCCACTAGGGGAGTGACTCAACAAATTGTGGCATACAAATGGAATGGAATCACTATGACTAAAGATAAGCATAGAACTTTTTATAAACTGATACAAAGTGAAGCAAGTGACTACCACAATGAAACCATGACCAAGTTTGGTCTCTGAGGGACATGAGAAAGTAGGAAACTCATTATGGAACCTGGTGGGTTGCCTGGGGTCCTGAGGGCTAAAGTGACCTGCCTGGAGTCACATGACAAATACATAGGAAAGGGACCTAGACCTTGCATTATCAGAATTATCATCCCTTCTCCTTCCACTAGAAGGGGAAATTCCAACAACAGATGTGAAACAGCTTCATTTCCCTTTGCCTTCCAGGCATCTTCTGCATTATGGGCAGCTCCAGTACCAGGGGAACAGGCCATCAAAATCTCCTGCTTTCTGTACCATGTGCTGACTCTGTATGTCTATGTCTAACTCTGCAGCCTCTGGCATCCAATCCTCCCCACCATGTAGAAACAGGCAGCTGCTACAGTTCCTGGCAACATGGTCCACCTCTGGGATTTTGCGATCCTCCTCAGTGAAAATCCCTTTTGCCTTCTTCTCAACTAATCAACTCAATTTTGCCTTCTTTGTGAATCCTTCCCCAAACACATGAATATCTCTGAAATCCTAAAGCACGGCTTGTATGCATTTATTCCAAAGAAACTGCAACCTTCTAGATAGCACAGACTCTTCAAATGGTATAAATCTTAAATCATCCAGCACAGTACTGATCATGTACAGGGCCAACAAAGTCACTGAATAAGTGAATGACGAGCATAGAGCAGGGTGATACGAAGGGATGAAATGAGGCCAATAACGAGCATTCCCTATATAGTAGTAAATGAACCAAGACAGGCCCCAATTAATTAAGTTGGAGTTGTCTGGACCGAAGCACAAGAAGGGGGCTGTACTGGAAAGAAAAGTATCTCAGATGAGAGACGGGAATGTAACTACTAAGAAATGAGATCGCATTTTGGGAAAGAAGGGTAACTCCAACTCACCTGGGTCCTAGTTGTGAGGAGGCAAGGAGCCAATCCTTTATCTCCTTTGATCCCATTTTGGAAAAGGGCAGAATCCTGAGAGAGTGGAGCTTAAGAGAGAAAAGCAAGCATAATTCAGGTCAACAAGCATTTATGAAGAATTTACTAAGGGCCAGGGCCAGGGGAGGGGAACCCGTGGCCTTCTAGATCCTTAAGTTCAGCCTTTTGAAAAGTTCCCTACCCTTGGGCCAGGCACTTTGCTGAGCACTGGGAGTCAAAGAAAGGGGGAAAAAAGGCCCCAGTTGTCAAGGAACTCATAATGGGAGTGACAATGCGTAAACCAGTATGTACAAATAAGATAAATATGATACACCATTATTGCCTTTCCCAAGACCACTGAATACTAATGTTTTCCATCAGAGATTATCTCCATTTAACCCTGTATCTGTTTTGTATAATTTTATAAATCATAGAAAAGGCTTAAAAGACCCAAGTTCTCTTCCTAGTGTGGACATTATCAATCTGTGGGACTTTGGGAAAGTAACCTGCTCCTTCTAGTTTCCAGGGTCAGTGACTTACAGGAGCGATGGCATAAATCTCGGGCCAGGTGAGGAAGTCCCCTGAGGGTTTAAGTGTAAGTATAAGTATATTCACCTCTTCCTATCCCTTCCTGCACAGGAGCAACCAATGGAAAATGTCTTCCTCTCTGCGGTTTCATATTTTACCACTGTTACCCATGGGAGAATTTAATAGAGGATATTACTTTGGATGCTGGACGCTATGACAGTGTAGGCTTGTGTTAAGACCCCAACAAAGTGGTCTGTCATACACTAGGCAAGACCTGACCTTTAACTTGTTTATTCTGCATGGGTCTTTTCCTTTAGGTGGTTATTTCTGTATCTCTTCTCCTTCCCTTCCCTCATCCCTTTGCAATTCTTACCTCCCTCTTCAAACACTTGGGCTGAATGTTCCATGACTTCCTCAAAGTTTTCCCATCGGGGGACCTGATCTCCCTGGGCAAGTTGTTCAAGAATTGCTTAGTACGTCAGCCACTGAAGACAGAGCTCCTGCATTCAATTCAATGCTTCACTGGGCTCAGCCATTGAGAATCCTCAAACCTGAAGACCCAGCCAGAAGAGTCTCTTCCCAGGAAAGTTACATGGAGTTGTGATCTGTGGATGTGGAGAAAAGTGCCTCATATCTGCAGCTGGGACCTTCACTTTGGGAAGTCTGCCTCATTCAGACTCGGGCAGAAGGTTCGAATCCGCAGAAACAACCCAGCAGCCTCCATCTCCCGGTCTCTACACCGGGAGCCCAGGAGAGGGCAGGGTCAAGCCACCACGGCCCTCTCCCTCTTTCCCTTCTCATTTCTCCTCCCTCTTCACAGGCCTTGCAGACATATACAGTTCAAAATGCGAATACAAAGCAAAAGTGTTCTTAAATCAGCACAAACAGAATTCTACAAGCTGACCTCACAGACAAGAAAATAGGGACACAAAACATAGACTTAGGGCCGGTCACCCATCAACAAGCATTTAAGAGCTTAGTATGAGCCAGGCAATGAGGATGCAACGGAACGGAAGATTCAGGGATTCAGTCTAGGAACAGAGACATGAGGAAAAGGACGATGATGAGAGAGGATGACTTATTCAGAGTCCGAATCTAGAAGGAAGAACTAATAAAGAAATAAAGAAGAATGAGGTTCTCTGACCTAAAGTTTAAAACAAAAATTTAATGGTGCCATCCAAGACACTTGAGTATGTTACCTTAACATGTAATAGATCTCAATGACAAGATAAATAAGATAAGAACATATAAGATATATATCTTATATATAATATATATATCTTATCTTATATATAGTTTATCTTATATCTTATATATAGTATATATATTATCCTATATATAAGCTATATATCTTATAACTTACATATAATATATATCTTATCTTATATATAAGATATATTATATATAACATATACCTTGTCTTATATATGATATATATGACATATATCTTATATATAAGATATATGTATCTTATATATGACATAAGAATAACATAAGATAAGGAGAAAAACGTCCCCTTTCACCGTAAGCAACTGCCCTCAAGGTTTCAAGTGGCCAGCTGCACTGGGAGGCCAGTCTCCGGAGTCTACATCACCCCGGGGCTCCTGCCCTGACGCTTCCTGAAGGCAACACCGGCCCGCACTCACACAGCTGGTGAACTCGGCCGCCAAGGTCAGCCCGAGGCCTCCCATCTCTCGCCGCTCCAGGTGAGCCGGAGTCTGGCGTCATCGTGTTCTCAGTCTATTTTAGACCTGACCACGTGACTTCCTTCCTCCATTTCTGCGGCCTCCCACGGCCTCGAGGATAAACGTGACCTCCTTTCCCCGTCTGTCTGGGCAGTCTGGGCGGACACCGCACCCCTCTCTGCCCTCCCCTCGCCCCCCACCGCTAACGTCCTCCCCCCAGAACCCCCTTGTGTCTAAGCCCTTTGCATCTTACCGCGTCTACACCGCCCGATGTCCCCACGGGCCCCCTGCCCCTCGGGAAGCTTGCGTCCATTTCCAGCGCCCGCACCTACACCCCTGGCTCAGACGGACGCTCGGAGCCGCGTGATCCCATCCGGTCACTGAACGGGCCCGGGGCTCAGACCACAACCGCGACCGTCTCGCACCCGCCGAGCCGTACTGGCGAAGCCGGCCTGCGAGGCGCCTGCGCACTACCCTCTGGCGACGGCCCAGCGTTCACTGCGCCCCGCCCCCTCGCCATTTCGGGGCGCACAGCGCCTGCGCGAACGCTGCGCGGAACTACGATTCCCAGAGTTCCATCTTCCTCCTCCCTTTGTCTAGCTTTTGGTTACTGGGCCTTCTGTGTGTATTATTTTTGTTTTTCCTCCGCCGAATCTTCCGTAAACATTTTCCTGAAACATCTCCGAAAACAAAGGTCCTTTACTAACTGGACAAACCTAACTGGGGATGGCGTAAAGGGAATGGGAAACGGGAGGGCGACCGGGAGCCGAAGAAGTCTCCACCAATCGGGAGGGGCGCTCTCAGTGTCGTCTCTTCCCCGCCCCCTCTATCGACAGGCTTGTCTCCATGACAACCCTTTGAGTATGCGTGTCTTTCTTTGGTCCAGGAAACAAATAACACCATCATTCAGTGTGGTAGACGCCACACCTACCCCATTATTTTTTTACACAATATTTGTAATATTACGAATTATAAAAAATTATGAAAAATACTTTTTCCTCCTGATAGCATCTATAAAGCGTTTTGAGGTTTGCAAAATGCTTAATAAATCTCATTTATACAACAACCCTCTTACCCTATGCTATTACAATATACCAATTTTACAGATGAGATGAACCAGGGTCACATAGCTACTAAGTTGAAGATCATCTGAGCTCCAATAAGGGCCAAAACCTGACCTAATCAACCAGAAGAAGCACCCCAACATAACATTCTTTGTTTTCTGAGTGAACTCACAATGCCCTTCCTGTGTCAGCAACTACAGGGCCAGAAGAAGCTGACCAGCAATCTTCTGTTTATGACCACCAAGACGCCTCAACCCAGATACTATATTGAACCGTGGGACCGTTTTTTTGTTTTGGCTAGGCAATGGGGTTAAGTGACTTGCGCAAGGTCACACAGCTAGTAAGTTTCAAGTGCCTGAGGCCAGATTTAAACATAGGTCTCCTGACTCCCAGGCAGATGTTCTATCCACTACACCACCTAGTTGCCCGCTAAGGAAAATTTTCAAATAATAAATATCCTCAAATGAAGAAAAACATTGTTTTGAGAAATTTCTTACTGCCCACAATTTGCCAAATATTTACTTGCATCTTATCAAACTTCTTATTTAATTGCAAAAACTAAAAAGCCGTATAGAATAGATCTTGTTACCTACAATTAAAATGTCAGAAACAGTTCACGGAGGAAAAGTATGAAATTTCATGGAAATTTATAAAATTCCTTTGTCACATGATATTTATCAAGCAACACAGTTTAAAACTTGAATTTCCTAAAAAAGTGTTAAATAAATTTTGGCTTGGGATTAAGACAATTATCAACATTTGCTGAAACGTACTTCTGCCATTTTTGGTGTGAGGATGGAGAGATGGGCAGTAGGCCTAAGCAAAAATGAGAACACTCAGGACTGTTGACCTTGAAATGGCAATTGCCCTCGGAATAAAGAATACTTTGTTGGGGTGTGGGAACCCCTGAAAATATCAGGGCATTGTGGTATCATTGAAAAGAATTCTCAGACTCAATCCATCTTCAAGATGAGTGGCAAAACTTGTTCCTTCCCTAAGGAACCTAGTATGCAGATGTCATACCTAGGGGGTAGTTTTGTGTTTTCAGGGTAGTATTTTTAGATCTGCTATGTCAGTAAGTCAACTGATGGTCATGGTCATGGACAATCTGTTCTTAAGCAATCTAAATGTAAAAGAGTTGATGTATAGCTTGACTTGTATGTATTAAAGTTCTTGTAACAGGGAGAGATACATAGCTTGACTGGGCCCACTCATGGATTACTGGTCTTTGGCTGGGGTCCAATCACCCCATCATTTCAGCGGGGCAGTAGAGGCAGTTAAGATTATTTGAGATAATTGATATAGGATCAGAATATGCATGAAACAAGACAAGTACAATTTTAAAAGGGAATGTGTGTGTGTGTGTGTGTGTGTGTGTGAGAGAGAGAGAGAGAGAGAGAGAGAGAGACAGAGAGAGAGAGAGAGAGAGAGACAGAGAGAGAGAAAGAGAGAGAGAGAAATAATAAAATAATGTTGGGGCCACAGTTTGTTTTAAGTATCTCAGAATCTAATTGGGTATTTTTGAGAAGGAAAAAGTTTGCAAACCGATCTATGTCTTGTTAACAAATGGCAACAGTGAAGTTTTCAGATTCTTTCTCTTTGTTTACATTCCCCAGCTATAGCCAGGTTCTAAAGTGTATAGAATTGGGTAAGGGAGGGGCAATCTTTTTTCCTCAGACCTATATTGGGGATTGAATGGCTTGATAAATTAAATGCTAAAAGATTATAAGATAATAATAATAAGAGCATCTCATATACCCACATGCACAGAATGAGGGATTTATTGTTTTGCAGCTAGGAGATTAAGGTCATCTCACTAATTATTGACAGCATGGTTTAAAGATGGTGCCAGTCAACTTTGAGAGGAAAGAAAGTTGGCTTACTGGCCTATATTATTATTATTAACTTTACTGGTTCATAAGAGAAAAAGGCTGTGAATTGGGAAACAAACCAAAAAATTGGTTTCACTTGTGAATGTGAATAATTTGTGAAAGGATGATGCTTACCTTAGATTGGTTCATCCTAACTAAGAAAACTTATCTTTCTCAAATACAAGATAAATACACTGAGGAAGGATAAGCAAGAATAGGGTGCCTTCTGTAAATTGTTACCTGATAATAGCACAAGGTCACTTGACATATTTATGTGAAGAAGATTGTCCTTTGGAAACCTAGAATGAAAAATTTCCCAAATCAGGAGAAAACAGATCACACTCACTTCTGACCTGGCATGCCCATAGTGGAAGAAATTGTATCTAAAAAATATGGAATCATCTGTCTGGTTGATGACTTCTTCCTCAAACTGGCTCATCTTAATTGAGAGCACTTATCTCTCTCAAATACAGATTAAATGCTCTGAGTTAGGATGTGCAAGAAAAGGTTGTCCTCTGGAAATGACTGTGTGGTAGAATCCACAGGAGCTCACTTGCCACGCTTATCTGTGAAGAGGTTCTCTTCTCATCAACTAGGATGAGTTCATTATACTTGAGAGTGTCACATACGAACAGAGACCACTTATTCCCCTTGACCCTTTCACCACAAAATTCCCTATGTCTTAATGACTTGAGACTTGAGTTTCATTCTCAAGCTTGACAACCTGGTGTGTACATTGTGGGGGAAAAAAATCTTGCAGATCATTTGGTCCTCAGGGTGGCTCATCTAAATGTGAGCACATTTATTTCCAATTTCCAATTAATGCTATCAGTTAGGAATTGAAAGTCAAAATTTCCCTGGGGAACTTAGAGTCAGCAATTGGTAAATCAGAAGAAAACAAATCTTACTGACTTTTGGCGTGTCAAAGTGAACCAACTTCTGGATGCATGGCTTGGTCCTCAGACGGACCCATCCTAACTGAGAACACTTATCTCTCTCAAAAACAGAAGAAATGATCTGAGTTAGGGATACACAAGGCTAGCTTATCCTCTTCAAATTACTGGTTGAAAGTATCTACATATGGTAACTTGCCATACTATGAAGAGATCCTCGGATTCCTGAAAACTACGGACCATTAGGTGTTAGTGTGCTGCTCGAAAACTGGGAATGCACATTGTGGAAAGAAATATGGAACTATCTGTGTGATAGATAGCTTAGTTCTCAGACTGGCTCATCCTAACTGAGAGCACCAATCTCTCTCAAATACAGAATAAATCCACTGAGTTAGGAAGTGCAAGACGAGGTGGTCCTCTGGAAATGACTGCTTGGTAGAATCCACAGGAGCTTGCTTGACATGCTTCTCTGTGAAGGGGTTCTCTTCTCATCAGCTAGAATAAGTTGATTAATCTTGAGTATGTCACATAACAAAAGATGCACATTGTGAAAAGAAAAATCTGGCAGATAGTTTGGTCCTCAGGCTGGCTTATCCTAAATGAGAGCACATTTATTCCCAATATCCAATTAATGCTATCAGTTAGGGATTGAAAGTCAAGATTTCCTTAGGGAACTTACAATCAGAAATTGGTAAATCAGAAGAAAAGACATCTTACTGACTTGCCCAAAGTCATACAACTAGTAAGTGTCTGAGATCAAATTTGAACTCAGGTCCTTCTGATTCTAGGACTGGTTGATGATCTATGCACTGTACCACCTGGATGCCCCTCTGATGAGTCAGTCTTTAAAAGTCTGACCAGGCTTCTCTAGAAAGCCTTGTACCCTAGCTGAAGGATTTTCTCCTTCATGGAAGCAGGGTCTCCCAATGTAGCTGGCCAGGACAGTCTAGAGGCCAAAAATGTCACTTGGTCAAAAGGACTAGTACTTGCTTAGGCCTCTTCTTACCCAAAATGGATAGATCCTAGAATACAGTAATTTAAACCGGGAAACTAGGCAGTTCCCATCAAAATCACATTTACACACTGACTCTTTACCTTACCATACAAACAGTAGATTTAAAAATATGTCACTGAGTCCTGTATCATAGAAATATCCTGGACTTGGAGTCCTAGAATGGAAAAAAAAAAGTTTTAGAGTTTATCTGGTCCAACAATTCTCTTTTTGCTGAAGACAAAAGTGAGAGAGGCAGAAAGTTTCAATTACTTGCACAAGATCACACAGTAAAACTGGCAAGCTAGATGCCAATCCAGTTGCTCTGTCTCTGAGCTGTATCTAAGTGCTCTTTCCGTAGCACTACATTGCCTCCTTTGATTGGTCTTGTTCACGGGAAGGCAAACATTCCCCAGAGCAGGGTATTCTCACCTGCCTTAAAGCTTCCCTTTTTACTGGGGGACATGGGACTTCCTGTATCATCCTTCTCATGAATCTCTCACCAAGAGCAGATTTAAAGCAGCTTACAAAAATAATGAAAGACTTGCTTAATTCTTA